TTAAGTTAATGTTTTTAATCATTCTTTGTTATTATTGTTGTTGGGTGTCATTGAGCCCATTTTGACTTGCAATGACCCCACGCGACAGGGTAGAACTGCCTCATAGGGTTTCCTACGCTGTAATCTTTATGGGAGCAGATTACCAGGTCTTTCTCCTGATAAGATGCTGGTGGCTTCTAACTGTCTGCTTTTCGGTTAGCAGTCCAGTGCTTAATCGTGCCACCAAAGCTCCTTTAATCATTCTTAATGCCTCTCTTTTCCTTTATTCTGCTATGTTTAATCACTTACTGCTGTTCATTTTTACCTCTAAGCTCAGTCTTGAATCTGTCCACTTCACTGTCCCCAGGGCTTCTTCCCAAGTAGATGCTACTAACTTTTCTCATGTGGATTAAGGCAACTGCATCCTTACCATTCTTTCAACTCTGGTCTTGAAATAATCCAAGTTACCCTTACATTCCAAATATAGCTCCAGTGGCCTTTCCAAGAACAATCATGACCCTGGTTCTTCCTCCTCAAATCTACCATGGGGCCACTATCGCTATTAAGATAATGCCTCACCCCCTCGACATGACTGCAACCTGACCCCTGCTTACCTCTATTGCTTTATCCCTCAGCACTCCTCATCTCCTATTTTGGACCCTGCTCTGGTTACCTAGTGCCACTCTGACAGGAGTATAATAAAATTTTAATAATGGCACAGCCCTGATGTTACCAAACCACATGGTAGGCCATTAAATCTCTGTTCCTGACATCTCCAATGCCGGTCTCTTGGCTCTGCTCCTGCCGTCTCTCATGCTGCATGCCGGGGTCTCTCAGTCAGGGTATCTGTCAGAGCAGCACCCTACTCTCCTGGCCTTGGCAGAGGAGTACTTTAACAATCAGGTGGGTAGGATGACATGTTCAGTGGAAACCAGTCATTCTTTTTCCCCAGCTACTCCTGTCATTGCTCAATGGGCTCATGAACAAAATGGCCATGGTGGCAGGGATGGAGGTTATGCATGGGCTCAGCAACATGGACTCCCACTTACCAAGGCTGATCTGGCTACTGCCACTGCTGAGTGTCCACTCTGCCAGCAGCAGAGACAAACACAGTCCATGATATGGAAACATTCCTCAGGGTGATCAGCCAGCAATGTGGTGGCAGGTTGATTACACTGGACCACTTCCACCATGGAAAGGACAGCATTTTGTTCTTACTGGAATAGATACTTATTCTGGATATGGATTCACCACAATTGCACACAATGTTTCTGCCAAAACTACCATCCATGGACTTACAGAATGCCTTATCCACCGTCATGGCATCCCATACAGCATTGCGTCAGATCAAGGAACTCACTTCACAATAAATGAAGTGCGGCAATGGGCCTATGCTCATGGAATTCACTGGTCTTATCATGTTCCTCATCATCCTGAAGCAGCTGGCTTGACAGAACGATGGAATGGCCTCCTGAAAACACAATTATGGTGGCAACTAGGTGGCAATACCTTGAAGGGTTGGGGCAATGTTCTCCAGGAGGCTGTATAAACTCTAAACCAGTGTCCAATATACAGTTCTTTTTCTCCAGTAGCCAGGATTCACGGGTCCAGGAACCAAGGGGTGGAAACAGGAGTGGTACCACTTACTATTACCCCTAATAACCCACTCAAAAAATTTTTGCTTCCTGTCCCCGATACCTTATGCTCTGTGGGTCTGGAGATCTTAGTCCCAAAAGGAGGAATACTCCTACCTGGAGACACAATACTGATTGCTTTGAACTGGAAATTAAGAATGCCACCCAGTCATTTTGGCTTCCTCATGCCTCCGGATCAACAAAGAAGGCCATTACTATACTATATGATGTGAAAGATCCTGATTACCAAGGGGAAATTGGATTGATATTACATAATGGAGGTAAATAAGAATATGTCTGGAATATAGGAGATTCTTTAGGACGTCTCTTAGTACTACCATGCCCTGTGATTAAAGTCAATGGAAAATTACAGCAACCCAATTATGATATAACTAACTGTTAATGACCCAGACCCTTCAGGAATGGAGGTTTGGGTCACCCCACCACGCAAAGAACCACAACCAGCTGAGGTGCTTGCTGAGGGCAAGGGAAATACAGAATGGGTGATGGAAGAAGGTAGTTCTGAATATCAGCTACGGCCACATGACGAGTTGCAGAAACAAGAACTGTGATTGTTATATTTTTTCATTGTATATGTGCATAAAATATTTTTGTTCCCTTCTGTTATGAACTGTGAAATGTAAATAAGGTTAATACTTTTCAGTTTTACGTGTGTTAGTGTATCATGTTAGGTGCAAATATGATTTTGTGATTGTCTTTATTTAGAGATTATATATGGTTAAGAAGATGTGTACAACTGCCAAGTTGACAAGGGGTGGACTGTGATAGTTGGAGCTATGTGTCAACTTGGCTAGACCACAATTCTGTGTGGTTTAAGCAGCTGTGATGTGGTTATTCCCATGATGGGATCAGATGTATATGTTTTGGGCAGCCAATCCGCTGAAAGGGAGTTTCCCTAGGGGTGTGGCCTGCTTCCAATATATTTATGGACATCCTAGGAAAAGAGACACTCTTCTGTGGATCGGGATTCTGTTGTGATGCTTACAACACTCTGTGAGTGAACAATCCACCATTCGGCCTGGAGATCTTGGATTCGTCATTCGTTGGAGTCAATAGCCAGTATACTGCCTGCCAATCTTGAGCTCATCAGCCCCTGCAGCTGTGTGAGTTAGGAAAAGCCTTCAGCTTGATGTCTGATCCAAGAACTTGGGACTTTCCAGCTTCTTTAAGTGTGTGAGCCATTTTTCTAAGATAAATCTCTCTCTCTTTCTCTAAGCTTTCCTGATTTTGCTTCTCTAGAGAACCCAGTCTAACACAGACCCAGTTCCATTTCAGTTCCATCTAAACTGCTCTGCCACTGCTGGCTGAATGCTACATTCGTCTCCTACTGTTGCTATTAACAAACTACCACAGATCTGTGACCTTAATAGTTCTGGAAGTCAGAAGTCCTAAAAGAAAGGTGTCATCAGGGCTGCAAACTTTCTGGAGGCTCTAGGGAAGAATTCACATCCTTGCCTTTTTTAGCTCCTACAGGCCACCCGTATTCCTCCATCTTCAAAGGGGGAACCAGAGCCTCAGCAAATCTCTCTGTCTGATCTTCGCTTTCATCATCACTTCTGCTCTGACTCTGACCCTCCTGCCTTCCTCTCATAAGGATCTTTGTGATTACATTGAGTCCATCCAGACCTCGAGATTTTTAACTTAATCAAATCTGCAAGTCTCTTTTGCCATGAAGGTTAACATATTCACAGGTTTCAGGGAGTGGGTGTGAACGTTTTTTTTTTTTTTGCTGGGGGGACATTATTCCATCTACCACAGATCCCTGACTCTGCTTTCTTTCCTTGTAGGGGCGCTTATCCGTGTCCCCTGGAGCCTGAAAGATTCGTGAGGACAACAGCTACACCCCTAGACCTATCACAGTACTGGGTGCAAGGCAGTGGTGAAGGTTTCACCACAGGATCTCCGAAAGAAAAAATTTATAGTAATTATCAATTTCTCTGGTTTAAATTCTCTCATCATGGCCAATAAAATAACTTCAATGAATTTGAAGAAAAGGACAATGCAAATATTTTTCACTAAGTGTGAGAGAGAGAAAAGTGGTAAGACTATGCCCTGCCAAAGGAGGAAAACTTGTGAGATCTGGAAAAACAAGGCAGTCCCGTTGAGTTCTGGCTCTCATAGTCTCGCTGTATTAAAATGTATTTATCTATTAATTTTTTCTTTTCTCAGACATTAGTGCTAAATTTAAATGTAAATAGTATTTATTCTCATTTGGAGATAAGACATACTGAATTTCAGGATTACTTTTAGTTTGTTCATGGAGCACGATAAATACATTTCAAAGAGGTAGGATTTCGGTCTTAATATTTATTTTTTCATTTCATTATTTGGCTACTGTCAACCTAACTGGCAATTATGTTGACTTAGAAGATACTCTAGGAATTTAACTACTTTACATGAAATATGTAGTAATAGGTTAAATATGAAAATGTATTGATAATAATGTTCATCTTACTACATATTAAAGTATTAACATTCTAACCTGTGAAACTTAAAATAGGAAAATCTCCTGAGAACTTTTATAAGTTTAATGGTAAATAAAACAATTTAAAAAAAAAAAAAGTAAAAAACAGTCTATGTGAGAAAGCTGAACATACTTCAGCTTGGCTCTCTGCAGAACACCTAAACATTACTTTCTAGAAGTTTCCTGGCTGCCTTACAGCTTCCCACTGAATCCAGACCACAATGAACCTGCATGAATCAAGTAAACTTGGTACTAGTAAAGTTTTTAAACACCATTCAGGATCAAAACTGTTAATTCCATGGCAAAAAAAGGAAAAGTTCCAAAATCAAGTTGACACACAACTATGGGGAAAGTAGAGATAAAACATATGGTGAGAAAGCTTTTTAAAAAGTATTCTAGAGTCAATGAGGCGTTTCCATGTTGCTACAAAAACACTGGAGTTAAGTTTTCAATAAATGTTTTCCAACAGCCCAAGCATGTGTGGGTCATATATTGTTAAATGCAGGGATTATGGAGAAAAAGTTAGTAAGCAGAAGAGATAATTTTACATAAAAGACATATATATTCTGTGGAATCACATTTATTAAACTAACAAACATTAGACAAAAGGAATGAGTACATATACCTGCTATTATAACTAAAACTACCTGATTTTACTAAAGTAGATTATTTGGTAAACATAGGATTTTTTCATTAATTCATATGAACCCAAGTAAATAAAAATACCCAGTTTATGCTATCATGGCTCAGAAGCATATAATCTACACAGACATTTTTATAACCACATCTTTCAATTTTGATTGGGATCAAAATTCAGAACCATAATCAATGAAGATTATTTCTGACAACCATAATGCCAGTACTGGCCTTCCCAGGTAGTGCTAACTTCCTGATTTACTTACACACTTCCTGTGGTAGAGCTGCTATCAGTGAGGAAAGACCCGTTTGTCCTTTCCATCTGGGCCAGTCTGAAAAACGAACATAAAGAGGTTAAATAATGTGGCTACATAAAGGCTTGTTCAGTGGGGGGCACATCTCAGTCGTTCTTAAATTGTCGTAATTCTGATGAGCCACTGAAAGGCCTGAATCTCCTAACAACATTTTAAAATCAAAACGACATCTAACTTTGAGTTACATTTCTGCCACCACTGTCTTACTCTAGGCCTTTGTCTTAGACCCATGATGTCAAGACTCTTGACCCAGCCTCCTAATTCATCTCCCAGGTCTAAACTCACCATTCACCCTGTTGACCCCACCCCTAGTCTGCATTCTCCACTGAAGCAAGAGTTAATTTCTCTCTGAAGCCTGATTACATTCCCATCATGCTTAAAGACATTCCAGGACTTCCCTATATCAAGGGATAGGATCCAACTTGTTAACACGTGGGCTCTTTATTATCTAGCTCCAGCCTCCTTCCCGTCTCTCCTTTACCCTTTGCCTACCTGCAGTTCCTTAGCAAGCCATGTTCTTTCCCAACTCAATGTGTTTGAAGATGTTTTTCCAACAGCCCAAGCTTGTCTTTCCCCAGAAATTCTGGGTGCTGACCCACTTGAAATGCATTATTGTTATGATGCTTGTACTAACCTTTTTAGGCATAGGGTGTGTGTGTGTGTGTGTGTGTGTGTGTGTGTGTGTGGTATCTAGCTTGCTATTATGTACTACAGATGCCTAGTCCATACTTCTTTGCTGAGAATTTTTGCCCATCAAGATCAACTTGTATTTTATATTATTTGGGGACTCTAAAATAAACCCCTATAATAAAGAATTAGCATAAATTTAATTACATATTGTAATTCATATGCATACCATCTACTGAGAATTCTTTCATTCCCCAAAACTGGGTTACATTATTTAAATCCTGCTTGTGTAGTGTTTGGTTTCTCATGAGCTCAATAAAACATCCCACTGAGATTTACTCTTCATAGACTATGCAGCCAGTGTTGGTAAAGTGCAAATCACAACATGAGAAGATGAGAGTCCAGATTCCAAACATAATGGAGTCACGACCCATACAAAGCATTTCTTTATTGAGGTATTGTAATGGTTTAAGATTAACACAGAAAGAAATGCAACCTGGCTGGCAGTGCAGCAGAGGCTGCTCTTGGAGTTCCTTACCGGGTAGCATACTGCTCTATTCGCGAATGGGTATCATCATGAAACAACTGAGGAGACTGAGAGGGGCTGGAAAGGAAAAACAAAGCAACAGTTATATGCTCAATGTTGACAAATGCTACTATTACGAATGTTAGCTTATTAAAAACCGAATTTGCCATGCAAACAAACCACTAGGATTGTTCCCCGGGATGCAGAGAGCTGTTATTTTAGAACAAGAGCTTAGTAATCACCCCCATGCTCATCCCATGGATCAGCACAATCACCTTCCACACAAAGGGCTGTATACTCACTCGCCGTGCTCTGGCCACATACTGATGAGAGTGATAGGACTGCAGAGAGGGGAGAGGGAAACAAAAGGGACAGGACAAACACTTTAGCACCATTTAGGACAAAAGTAGTTGGGGGGGGGGGGCTTTCTCCATTGGCTTCCACTCATGTGTTTGGTGCTGTGAGGGCCACCCTGGGGAAATCAAAAGCAGCAAGTCACAGCTTATTCTAGAAAGATGCTGTGCAGTCAAAGGCCTGCAGAATGTCTTCTCACAGACATCACGGGATACCTGTGATGGGTGCAAATACGTCCTTAAACAGTCTTACAGAAAAGGAAAAAAAAAAGAGTGCTGTAAATTAACTTGATATTGTAGAATCATTTTTACCATTCCATAATATATTGAGGGGAGGTCCAATCCTAAGTTTGCTTTCCTAGAGAAGGTATCTGGTCAGAGAGACAAAGTTAAATACCAAAGATCGCATTACAAATAGATGGCAGAGCTGCAGTAAGATTAAAATTTTCTGATTATTTTCCAGTTTTGAATGCAAAAATTACAGCTATGTTCGAGAGGAACCCACATGGTCACAAGTCTCTCAACCTCACAAAATTGTATGCATTGTTTCTATGGACATATTTTAAAATGGATGAACCTAGACACCCTCCTGTATGTCCTACCAAAATGGTCACCTCATCCATAAACTGAAACCAATTTCTCTAGAACACTATATACCTTCTTCATACAAAATGGTAATTGTTATACACACACACACACACACACACGTGTATATATTTTATATATATACTGGTAGCGTAGTGCCTAAGGCACTTGACTATTAACCAGAAGGCTGGCGGTTCAAACCCACCAGCCACTCCTAGGAAGGAAGTTGGGGCAATCTGCTCCCGTAGTGATACTGCCTCAGAAACCCAAGGAGGGGTCGCTATGAGTCGGGTCTGACTTGACGGCACATAACAGCAACAGCACACAAAATGGTATATACAGAAATCCAATGCATAAAATTGATCAATGGAAAACACGTCCTGCTAGAATCAATTGGGCCGGAGCCTGATCATTTACTATCCCTTTAGTCGTCAGGTATCCCCCAACCTCATGCACTGCCGGCAATCCCAAAGGCTCCAGGAAAAGAGTTTGAAAACAACTGATCCTATTTAAAAGGTCAGTGCAAATTCTTTTTTTTTTTTGAGGGGGGTATTGGCACATGTAGAGACTGAAAAGTACTGAGAAAATTAGTTCTCTGTTTAAATAAATAAAGTCTCCTACAAAGACTCATGCTGACTGAAACAAAGAAGAAAGTTTAAATTATTCCAGACCTACTTGATTCTGCTATTTCTATTATACATATAGGCTTAATAAAAAGTTAATGATATCATTACTGCCTACAGTAAAGCCCAAGTTGATTTCTTTTTAAATTTTCATTGTGATTTGGGTGAAAGTTTACAGAGCAAACTCCTTTTCCATACAGTAGTTCACATATACTTTTGTCTCATGACATTGACTGCAATTTCCCACAAAGCTACAGCTCTCTTTCCACTGCCTCCCCATAGTTACCTCTTCCCTGTGTCCTTCCCTCCCATGCACTCCTGCCTGCCAAGCTGTCTCCCTGCACATACACAGTCCTTCTATTCTCCCAGGATTAATCTCTACTCTCTTAGGTAGAGTGTATCTACCTAATGTAAATGTTCAGCTTATATGCCTGTCATCTATTTGGCTGGAAGCCACAGAAACTAAGTTCAATTCTAGACCTGAAGGGCATTTAGGGGCCATAGTCTAAAGGGTTCCACCAGGCTCTATCAGATCAGCAAACCTGGCCCCTCCTCCCCTTTTTTAAATGATTTTGAGTTTTGTTCCACATTATTCTCCCACTCTATCCAGTATCTCCTACACAGATCCCCCTCCAAGTGGTTGACAGTGGTGCTGGGTACCATCTATTTCTTCTGGTATCATAGTCGTACAGGTTAAAGATCCCATGGTGTACCTGTCACTTGGACTAATTGTTTCCATGTGTCTTTGGTGTTCTTCATTCCTCTTTGCTCTGGATGAGGAGAGACCCATCGTTACATCTAGATGGCTGCTTCCCAGCACTTAAGATCCCAGTTGCTGCTGCCAAAGTAGGAAGTGGAACAATGTTTTTGTGTAGTATGATATGCCAGTTGAGCTTGATGTTCCCTGCGACTATGGTCTTGAGCCCGCAGGTCAAACTACTTACTTCCTCTGGGCAGCTGGCCATAGCCAAGAAGTGACCACAACTCTGTCCCTTGTCATCTCTACGATATACCTGGAAATTCTTACAGAGCATACAAATACACTTGTAAAAACATTGTCTGCCAACCCTATACATATCAGAATACCTCTACCGTAAACTGACTTATTTGTGTGTAAGGAGTCCCTGGGTGATGCAAATGGTTAAAACACTCGGCATCTAACCACAAGACTGGAGGCACAAGTCCACCCAGAGGCACCTTGGAAGGAAAGCCTGGTGAACAATTTCCAACCAATCAGCCACTGAAAGCTCTATGAAGCACAGCTCTGTTCTAACTCACACGGGCCACCATGAGTCAGGATGGACTCGATGGCAACTGGCCACCCATGTATAAAGCGGATACAACATAACAACAGGATAACAGCATTGTTCACTAGTCTTTCTTTCTGTGTCACTCCTTTCCATTAACTCTGGAATATGCAAGTTAAATGCCAGATGAATGGTTTCTATATATTTCCAAAAAATAGTAACAGCTTGAGAGATTAATAGCAAAATTCAAGTGTACTACAGCATTTTCAGAAGAAAAAATGTGTACATTTGATCTTAATAGGGCTTGGAAAAGCTTTGTGAAACTGCTTGACTGGTTCTTAGGAAGTTAATTCTGTGAACACAAAAGCGATTTCTTGAACTAAGCTAAGAACGGCAGGGGCAGAAAGCTGAAGAATTTCTCAAAAGAAGCTCTTTCTAAATATACATTTAGAAAGTTTCTAAGAAATGAAATAAAGATTTAACAAACCCACAAACTTTAGGCCTCATTGACATCACAGTATTTTGATTTTCAGGGAAAAAAAACATGTTATGTGATAAGCTTTCACATTTAAATTCCAGAAGTATGAACAAAACTTTAGGAAAAGGCAATATCCTGACTGTACAGTGGGGGAAACAAGACCAATCCGTGTGTTCACCCAGATCCCATGATGCACCTGTTCTTGCCTTCTCCTGTTTGACTTCAGCACAGTTGAAAAATGTATTGGTTACTCAAAGCAGATTCACTATAAGGAGACAGACTCCAGTAGATACATTAAATATTCTACAGAATATGACCCGCCTGTCTTTGAAGGAATTCACAATCCTTTTAATACCTTAAGTTCTCTGCAGAATGGTCCTCATGCTTCTTGTCTTTTGCCTTCTTAAATCCATTTACTTCAGAGTACAGTAAGTTGGATCCCAGCAGCTCTGGTGGTGCAGTCATTAAAGCATTTGGCTGCTAACCAAAAGGTCTGTGGTTCGAACCCACCAGTCACTCCATGGGAGAAAGATAAGGCAGTCTGCTTCCAGAGAGATTATAGCCTTGGAAACCCTAAGGGGCAGTTCTACTCTATTCTTTAGGGTGGCTATGAGTTGCTGTCAGTGGCAGCAGGTTATGGCTCCTTACTGCTTTGAGGACAATTTCTAAATGCCTTCGGTATCTATGTCCTGTTTTCCTCTCCTTCCTTGTCTCGCAGCTATTCTCAGCTTTCCACTCCCCACTCCCACAACTATCTTAACCGCCCTCCCCTCACACCCCAGCTTTTGAAATGCTCCCCTAGCCTGGAATCTCTCCCTTTCTTCCGCTAAGTCAAACACTTAACACTTGGCCTTATTGATCTCTCAGGTGTAGCTTGGCTGTCACGTTCTCCCAGTCCAGCACTCTCCCCTTCACCTTGATACTTCCTCTAAGCTGGTTCTTGCTACAGTAAGAACTTACAGAAATCATAAAACTCACCTTTTCCTCCTTAACCAATATCAGGGAAAGGTGGTTTACTTCACATCTTTAAACCTTTAGGGAAATCAATGTGCCTTGATAGCCAATAACAATCTATAAATCCAAAAAAGCAAACTCACTGCTGTCCAATCGGATCCAACTCATAGTGACCCCTCCTTGGGTTTCTGAGGCATATCACTACAGAAGTAGATTGCCCAACCTTCCTTCCGAGGAGTGGCTGGTGGGTTTGAACTGCCAGCCTTCTGGTTAGCAATCCAATGCCTTAGGTATTATGCCACCCTCTCAATTACTTTTGCTGCTCTTACAGACTGTTTTTCAGGTTCACTGTCCATGCTACACTCTTTAATCAAGCCCCAGCCTTTTAATTTTATTTTTGGAAAATCATGTATAAACAGTTATAAAATTAACTGAATAAACTTTAGCCTGGGTTTGTTTACCTCCTGTTAGTAATAGCTCACTTCTCCCATTTATCCCCTCCACCCACATGATAGGAGCTCTGGTAGCATAGTGCCTAAGGCACTTGACTGCTAACCAAAAGGCTGGCGGTTCAAACCCACCAGCCACTCCTCGGAAGGAAGGTTGAACATTCTATTTCCATAGTGATACTGCCTTGGAAACCCAAGAAAGGGTTGCTATGCGTTGGGTCCAACTCGATGGCACATAACAACAACACCCCTATCATGCATGTGTAATTACTGGTCAGGGGATAAGGTATCACATTTTGCAAGGATCAAAGACAAAGAAGAAAAATAAAATTCTAATCAGCTTCATAAATAACTTCAATACATGTATCACTCCATTGCTTTCTCTCCAATGTTCTACTCCCACACACAAAAAGAGAATAAGTGAAATCAAATTCTTTACTACCCACTCACACAAATTGTTACACCAGGTGATTAAGTGGCCCTGTACTAGAAATTGCTCAGCAGAGAAATGAATTATACCAAGGCCAGAGAGCTCGTTCTAGGATTAAACAGAGGTGGAGAGCCTGCCCACCGTCTCCAATGGCTCGTAAATCTTTTTCAGTAAGGAGTTAGGTGGCATCGGAGCTCATCTCATACTTCTTGCCCTCTTTTTCTTTCACTGGAAATGCTGGTAAATTCATGGTAGGTGAGGTGAGGCATTATCAGTCACACCTCAAAATTACAGCACACATCATCCGGCATTCTTTTCTGTTAATCTTTACTTCAGCAGACTCCCTCAGAATAGAATGGTTGATGCCAGGGATTACTTTGACATCGAAAGGCAAATTATTAAAAACACCCAAAAATGAGTATAAAAGATCTGTCTGCAGAATTTAGAGGAAGGATGCAGACACCTGAGACACAGAATGGCAACGGTTCACCAAACAGTAAAAGGCACATCACTTAGTTCAAAGCTATGAAACTATTCCGTGAATTAAAGCATCGTGATGCTTTAATGACTTTAGGCAGCCACTAGTCCAAAGGTTAATTATAGCTGATACCAACAAAAGTAAAAATTTGTCTTTTATTATGAGGTTTTCAGCACAATTAAACTATTTATTAAATATTAAAACAAATAAAAATGTATCACTGTACAACCCTTTGAAACAAAGCAGGACAGAAATATACTCAGAGCAAAGAGAGGATAAAAAATCTATCTTTCCTTAGGGACTTTATTCTCTTTTAACTGAAACAGATGAATAAAATAGGTTCTCAAGAAGGCTGGTGGTTCAAATCCACCAGCCACTCCTCGAAAGGAAGGCTGGATGATCTACTTTTGTAGAGATACTGCCTTGGAAACTCAAAGAGGGGTCGCTATGAGTTGCGATTGACTCAAAGGCAGTGAGGATTTTTTTGGGTTTTTTTTTTTTGGTACATGAACTCACTTATAGAGGGATAAAGTTATGTACTATACTTTGTAGTCCGTCTACTTCTTAGCATCTCCACAAACAAAACAGATGCATCTGCACATAAATTTAGAAAAGCCCCAAGTCTGTTGGTGGTGGTGGTGTTGTTAGGTACTGCAGAGTTGGCTTTGACTCACAGCAACCACACGTACAACAGAACAAAACACTGCCCGGTCCTGTTCCAGCCTTACAATCCCCGCTATACCTGAACCCATGGTTGCTGCCACTGTGTCAATCCATCTAGTTAAGGGCCCTCCCCTTATTTATTTACTTTTTTCTTTTAAGGGCTTTTTATTTATTTATTTATTTATTTTAAGAGCTTGTTTTACATTCAAAATCACGTGTACATTTAATTTCATTCCCCATTTGCCATGTCCAATCCCAACCCAGCCTCCTCCCCACCCTACCCTGCAATACTCCCCCTGTGCCCCTCATAATCAGGCACTCCTATTTGTCTTGCATTTCCTCAATTTGAATGTTGGTCCTTTGGTGTCCCATGGTTTATTGCTTTAGGGGATGCATTACCATTGAGGGTGTGGGTGTAGCATCCTTGGTTGAGTGGTCTGTGTGTACATCTCGCTAATCATTGGGTTGAGAGCCTGCCCCTGGGGGTGAGTTTTATTCCAGGTGCCAAATGTATTTCAGGGCCATAGTATTGGGAGTCTCACCAGACTTCATCTGACCAGTAATTCTGGTCATTATTGAGCTTTTGGATTTTGTTCCATATTTTCCCTCCCAAGCTATCCAGGATCTCCAGATTTGATCCTTTCCTGAGTGGTTGGCATTGGTAGTCAGGCACCATCTGGTTCTTCTGGTCTAGAGGGCCATTGTGCCCTACGGTTAACTGCTTCTAAATTCCGCCCCCCCTTTGTGCGTTCTTCTTCACTTCCGACTCTGGGAGACCATTAGCTGCATCTTAGATGGCTGCTTGAAAGCTTTTAAGACCCAGTCGCTACTCACTAATGTAGGATGTGGAGCAAC